TACAGCCAGGGGATGCCAAGGGTGGTCACCACCAGGAGGGTCGCACCGCCCCTCGGGGATCCTCGGGGCCTCCCGGCACTTCCAGAGCCTCCCGAGCCGCCCAGAGAGTCCGAGCCCCTGTTTGATCCTCGGACCTCGATCATCAGGAGAAGCCTGAGATCCGTCCCGACAAAAAAAAACAGCGTCGTGGAAACTCCCGACTGGAACCCTCCATCTCATGCCTCTCTGCGGCTCTCCTCCAGCTGGACCGATCCGTGGGGGGGTCACCGGGACCGATCAGGATCTCAGGCCGATGCGACGTCAGCATCTCTGGGGAGATTTTTGGGGGGAAAGGTAGGGGGTATTGGCTCAGGGATCGGACATCGGCCTGGAATCGGCGATACATCGCGGACAGATTGGCGATGGGCCCCGATAGCGAAACCACACGTTCCTGGGCGAGGTGGGCGTTGTCAGGCCACCATTGGCGATGCACCCCTCCCCGAGGCTAATGAGCCCCCCTAGCATTGCCTCTGAGAGCTGGCAACTACGCCCCCCCTGCCCTGGTCGTGACCCCCTTGGCCTCGCCTGAAGGAAGGGGGGGCCACGAGGCGGTGAGACGAGCAAGTAACTCACCCGCCCCTCTCGGCCGCCACCCGAGGAGGAGGAGGAGGAGGAGGAGGAGGAGGAGGAGGAGGAGGAGGAGGAGAGGAGGAAGGAGGAGGAGGAGGAGGAGGAGGAGGAGGAAGGGGGAGGAGGAGGAGGAGGAGGGGGAGGAGGAGGAGGAGGAGGAGGAGGAAAGGGAGAGGAGGAAAGGGAGGATGATGGAGGAGATGAGGAGGAGGAGGAGAGGAGGAGGAGGAGGAGGAGGAGGAGGAGGGGAGGAGAGGAGGAGGAGGAGGAGGAGGAGGAGGAGGAGGAGAAAGAGAACGAGCCAGCAGCAGCAGGAGGAGGAGGAGGAGCCAGCAGCAGGCGGAGGTGGAGCCAGCAGCAGGCGGAGGAGAGGAGGGAGGAGGAGGAGGAAGAGGAGGAGGATCAAGGAGGCTCGGCGATCGAAGAGGATCGCGGGTTTGAAGATAAGTAGGGGGCCAGAAGTCCGAACGAGGGGCACGGTGACCACAGCGCCCGACTTTGTAGGACTTTCGACTTTCGCCTTTCGACTGGACCACAAACTTGGGGGCCGAACTGAGGGAGCCCAAACATCTGACGAGGTTTGTTTGTTCAGGCCGCGGCAACATCGGCACATTCCGGCATGCGCGCCGGATCGGGCCGCTGAGCCGGCATCGGATCGGATCGGCTGCGCTATAGGACGCGCAGCAACGCCATGTCGGGCGGCACCAGGTCTTCGGAGCACCCGAATAGAAGCGGCTCGAGCCGAGTCCGATCGAAGTGGACCCTGCCCAGAGGCGCAGGGCCCCTCCCCCCATGGACAATCTTTTGCCCCGGAGCCGCTGCGGATGGTCCCAGGGCCCGAGAAGCTGCTGGGCGCCTCGTCATCAGGGGGCGAAAAGTTAGGTGGCAGTGAGGGCTGCAGAAAAGCGTAATGCGGGATGACGATTAACAAACAAAAATGGGAGAGAACGATTAACAAAAACAGTTTTCTGCGATTTCTGCACACTTTTCCGACTGGAGGAGAACGATTAAAAAATAGTTGTCCAGCCCGCGGCCGGTTTTTTCTAATCGTCATCCCAGGCGCCGCCGCGTGAACACGACCCCCGGTCATTTATTAATCGTCATCCTCCATTACCTCCAAGGCCCCTGAAGGGGCCCTTCACGGCCGAAAAGGGGGGCCATTCTAGGGCCCTCGGAGTGCACCTTTGTCCCCCCCCCCAGTTGTCGCTCCCCCATCAAGCGAGCCCTCGGAGCTGAAACCGAGGAGGCGCGCCAGTGCGGACGCCTGGGCAAGGAGGGGGAAGAGAAGGGCCCAGAGATCGGAGGCACCTTGATGTCCCCAGCATAGGCCCTGAACCTCTCGACTCTCCCCCCCCATGCTGGGATGACCGTGGGGGGTTCTAAGTGGATAGGGGGTTACAAGTGGATGCCAAGGTGGGTTATATATGGCCCAACCTGGCTTAGAAGTGGGCCACAAGTGCCTTGAGTAGCTTAGGGGGGGTTAGCTACCTCGGTCGAGTGGGCGGAGCCCACTTCGCCCCGATCGCTAACCCCCCGAAAAGCTACTTAAAGGCACTCGAAGCCCACTTCTAAGCCAGGTTGGGCCGGATATAACCCACCTTGGCATCCACTTGTAACCCCCCTCTCGCCAACGCTCGGACGTCTATTCCCTGTTTTTTTCGGTTTCGTGCGTGGTTTGTTTCGCCAAATGGTCAAGGATGCTCCTCGATGGTCCTCGCCGAAGGAAAAATGCACACGTCCGAGCGATGCTAGGCCCCATCCACTCAGAACCCCCCGCGGACATCCCCAGTGGGGGGGGCCGCCTCCCCGCCCCGAGCGGCTTCTCCACGGCACTGCAAGGGGGGGGGGGGGAGGCCGGCAGCGGCGGCAGGCTGGCCGCCGCGGCGCTCTGGCGATAGGCACGGGCTGGTCCCCCGCACACCCTCCGATGGCGACGGCCTCCGTGCGCGGGAGGCCCCGGGGCGCTCCCGAGGCCCCTCCCCCTCGGGGGCAGACCTGCGCCACAGGTCCACGTTTGGCTAATGGGGGATGTGTCGACCCCCACGCCAGGCTCTGGGGTTGGTCCTCGAATGGGCCAGCAACTCGTGGCCCCCAACCCTGCCTGGGATGGGCGACGGGGGGCGTGCATCCTCGACAGCGGCGCCTCCGAATAGCCCTCACTGGGGCGTGTCCCCGAGCTTCCCTCCTTCTGAGCGGCCAAACTTTTCAAGCGGAACTCGGGGCTTTGGGGCGGAGCATCGCCTGCGATTGATGGCCCGGGGGCCCCACAGCGGCACCGCGGGGTCCGACACGGAGGGTCAGCACCCGGATGGAACAGCCCACATCGTCGGATATCGGGGCCTGTAGGTCCTGGCCTCATGGGGCCAACCCATGGCGTCAGTCTGGCCGACTCGACTTGTGGAGACACTAAAGGCCTGGGGAGGCCAGGCAATGCCAAGGGTTCGGTCGGGCATGTCCTCCTACAGGCGGATTCTGGAGGAGAAACAAGAAAGAGCTGAAACAAACAGCTCAAACATGGTAGAACAAACAAATCGAAAAATCATCCTCAGGTTAATTTCCGACTATTTTGAACATGCCTCCTGTAGAGGGGCACGCCCGACTGAAGCCAAGGGGGGCCACCACTCCCTCGATGCGGCGCCATTTCCTCGAGGCAGGTGGGCTCCCGGGAGCACTCCCGGAGGCCGCCCCCAAAAAGGAGCTCAGGCAGCCAAACACCCCTTCGAGCTTCTGGGCACTGGGGCCTTGGCGCCGAGGAGGAACTGGTGACCTCCCTGGATGGGACCCCCCTCTGGCACTGCCCGAGCCTGCAGGCGAGCCCAGGATCGAACGGAGAGGTCGGCTCGGCGATGGACGCGAGTCGGATCGGCGGGAATCGGCAGCCAGGTTGGGAGAAGCCGAATCGTCAGGAATCGGCAGGCCAGCACAGCCTCCACTGCGAAATCGGAGGCCGGCTCGGAGTGCCAAGCCGAATCGAAGCGGAGGCGGAAGCCGTCGACATCGCATCGAACCCGAGTCGGAGGAGTCGGGGGAGGGGGAGAGGAGGGCGAGGACGGAGGCAGGGGGGGAGCGAGAACGGAGGAGGAGGAGGAGGAGGAGGAGGAGGAGGAGGAGGAGGAGGAGGAGGAGAAGGAGCGAGGAGCGAGAGAGGAGGAGCGAGGAGCGAGAGAGGAGGAGCGAGGAGCGAGAGAGGAGGAGCGAGGAGCGAGGAGGGAGGAGGCAGGAGCGAGCAGCGAGGAAGGAGGAGGGAGGAGGCCGACGTGCCCAGCCCCCGCTCGCCCGGGGCGCGAGCCTCTGGGGCCCGCTGCCCGCGGGGGGCGCGCTGCAGCCCGCGGGGGGTCGGCGCTCGCACCGTGAGCCGGCCACGGGCCACCCGACCCAACCCGAAGGCCCGGATTTCGGGTTGGGGGGGGTACGGGTTCCAGATGTGTTTTGTCGACGTTCCCCGACCCCCCCCCCACACTGGAAGTGGAGGGCAAATCGGGGCCTTCGGGCTGGGTTGGGGTGGTTTAGTTGGTGGTACGCAGGAGGATGAAGAGGAGGAGGAGGAGGCGGAGGAGGAGAACCGAAAATTAGGCATGGGATGCCTGGGTCAGGAACTATCGCTCAGCGTGCCGCGGCGGCAGCCCTGGCATTGCGCTGTGCCCCGGAAACTGCATGGCGTGTCGCTTCGCTCCGCGGACTAGGGAGTCCCGGGAAAGCTCGGGACGCTGCTGCTTGGGGACCGCAGCATGGTCAGCGCGTCACGCTGAATCTTAGAGAGCGGACACCCTCATGATACGCAAGCACGTCGGCAAGCGAAGTCGCTTAGTACACGCACCCAAGGCAGGATTCGAACAGGGCATGGCTGTTAGTAAACGCCCAAGACCGTTTAGCAAACGCCAATCAGGGGTGGTTCTTCCTCCCTTGAGAAGCGTACTGGGCCAAACCGGCGAAGCGCGACACGCTAAATGCAAAATACAACAAATCCTGACAGCATCTCTCAATAACCGTGTATCAGCGGGCGGGGCCAGCCGGAGGGCGAGCATCGGTTCCACACTGCTGGTTCTAGGAAAAAAATCCAACACCAAAACAACTTACATCTCATGGGGGCGAATCGCGTGCCTCCGTCGACCTCCGCCAGATGAACCGCACATCGTCGAAGACCTGGGTGCGAGGCGGGGGTTTATCCATATCCACCGCCTGGGAACCGACGTCCTGGTGCCCCAGCGGGCGGTGGATATGGATCTATTTCGGCCCCCGCGGGCCCGAATAGGTCCATATATCCACCGCCTGCCGAGGCTCCGAAGACTGACCCTCCAGGCGGTGGATGTGGATACATTCCCGCCCCGGACTGGGTGGTCGACCCCCCGTGTTGCGCCGACCCCCCTGTGGCTCGCGCCCCGATCAGCAGCCTAGCTGTGCACCCTGGGGCGCCACGTCCACGCGTGCGGGCACGGCGCACCGTGGGGGCAGGCGTCCAGGACCTCGCGCGGCGCATGCGCGCGGCACTCGGCAGCCTCGACCCTCCCGACGGCGGCGACGACGGACTGCGGCGACGCCGAGGGGCAGCGGAGCCGCCGCAGCCGTCGCCGCGTCGTCAGGAGGCCGTCGAAGCTGGCATCGTCGGCGCCGCCGTCGCCGTCGAGGCCGCCGCGCCGCCGAGGCCGACGAGGGACGGCGGCGGCGGACACACGGCAGAGGTCAGAAGCCCGTTCCTCTTCCCCCCATCTGCCTCCCCCCTCCCCCTCGGCACTTCCGCGAGCCCTCCCTCCCATTTCCCTCCCCCCCATCTCCCCCCCCCTCCCCCCTCCCTCCCTGACATCTCCCCCCCCTCTCGCTCCCTCCCATCTCCCTCCCCCGCTCCGCCAGCGAAGCGGCTCCATCGACCGCTGGGACCGCGCAGCGTACCAGATCACATCTCAGGGCTCCAGGGCCGCCGCCCCCCCGGCAGGCTCCCGAAGGCCCCCTAGAAGGCCCCCATAGGAGGCCCCCGGGAGGCCTCCGAGAGGCCTCCGCGTGGTCGTCGAAGGGGTCTCCAGTGCCCCCCTCGTCCACGAACCTGGGACGGTGGCGGGTGGGCCGAAGGCCACTACACAAATATAATATATATATATATAAATTATATATAAATATATATATATATATACAAGACTGCATTGGCGCTTCGCGCCATGCACCTTGGTCCTTCAACCCTTGCGCGCGTTGGCGTTTAGCGCGGCCCTGGCACACGACTTGCAAGCCCGATTGGACTGCTGAAGTTGTGTTGTGGAGAATGATTCTGCAGGCAGGGTCTCGCCACAATCGAAGCAAGCGAATACAGACATCGAGGATGTGCCGTATGCGACAGCTTAAAAATGTAAGCCAACGGCTACGGATGCATGTGTGCGAACACGTGTGGAAAACAATGTTTCCTTAATGACTTGGAGGGGCCCTCGTGAAACCTCCATGGAACGATTATTCTGGGATGCGATAGGGCATAGGGCAGCAAGCATGCAGGCAACGTACCGGATCCTGGAAATGCTAAGGACATCTACCGAACTCCAGGGAAATGTGCCGAATCCCGGGTTCGCAGCCGATTTCCCGGGAATTTGGTTGCGAACCCGGGATTTCAAGCATTTTGGTGTTTTGCGTGGGATGCCACTGTCTGGCAAACAACGGAGCAGCGCAGCGAAGCCGTTCCGGAGGTGGCGGTCAAGTGGGGCGATTCAGCAGTTTTGAAGCCTCTTGGGGGGCCGTTTTGGCTGCCTTTTGGAGAGCCATTTTGGGGCCTCGTGGGTTCTTTTTGGGAGTCCTCGGGGCCTTTGGAAGCCTCTTGGGGCCTCTTGGGGCCCTCCTGGGGCCTCCTGGGGCCCACTTGGGGCGGAAAGTTAGATGTTTGAACTTTTGATCGCCCTGTGGGGGCTCGTTTGAAGCTTTCTCGGGGCCCTCTTGGGCCTTCTTGGGCGCCTCTTGGGCTGTTTCGGGGCGCTCCAGAGCCGTCTTGGGGCCGTGTTGGGGCCGTTTTGGGGGCCCCCCCGGCCATCTTGGGGCGCTCTTGAGGGCCTCTAGTTCTGTCTTGGAGCGTCGGAAAGCTAAAATGGCGAGAAAGCAGAAAACATCGAAAAACACATTGGAAAATTGACCATTTCGGCCTCCCGGGGCCGTCTTGGGGGGCTTCTTTGGGGCCGCTTGGGGCGTCTTGGGGGCTCCTGAGGCTGTCTTGGGGCTATCTTTGGCGTCTTGGAGCGCTTTGTGCCTGTCTTGGAGCGCTCTTGAGGCACTCGGGACCGCTTCAATGGGCGTCCGGAGGGTCCCAAAGTCCCAGGATCCCAGGAGTCCGGTTTGGGGGGGGGGGGTGCGGGGTTTTGCGGCCGCCCGGGCTTGTAAAAATATAGGAAGAGGAATATAGGGCAACAAGAACGCATGGATTGGAGGGAAGCGGTGGTACCGCAGATGCGCCGCGACCGCACGTCACTTGCCTCCCATCCGCTCCTCCTCCTTCTTTCCTCCTCCTCTTCTTCCTCTTCTCCCTCCTCCTCTCCTCCTCCTCCTCCTCCTCCTCCTTCTCCTCCTCCTCCTCCCTTCCTCCTCTCCATCCTCCTCCTCCTCCTCTCTCCTCCTCCTCCTCCTCCTCCTCCTCCTCCTCCTCCTCCTCCTCCTCCTCCTCCTCCTCCTCCTCCTCCTCCTCCTCCCCAAGGGCAGCCGAGAAGTTCGGTCTGCGCACTCTCCGGCGCACCCTCGCGAGCTCCAGGCGGACCACCAGGAAGGCGTCGGGGGGCACAGCCCCCATGCCTCGATGGGGGGAGGACGAGTAGGGAGGGGGCGGGGGAGGGACGAGAGAGGACGAGGAGAAGGAGGAGGAGGAGGAGTAGGAGGAGGAGGAGGAAGAAGATGAAAAAGAAGGAGGAGAAGGAGGAGAAGGAGGATAAGGAGGAGGAGGAGGAGGAGAGTGCGAAGTACGCTGGTTGTGGTGCAACGGCAAGATATTCGACCGACCCAGGGATGGCACAAAACTCCGGCGGCAGACACCTGGGCTGCTGGTACAATCGGCAGATGCCTAGGCACAGCTGCGCTCAGCTATAACATACACACATCACATCGAACGTGGAGCTTGTGAAAAAGGAGGAGAACGTGGAAAGCAGGAGGAGAAGCCTCTGGAGCTTGGAGGAGTGGAAGGAGAGGAAGGGGAGGGAGGACACGAAGGAGGAGGACAACAAGGCGAGGAACCATGAAGGATGCCAGAGAGGATGGAGGCAAGTAGGGCGCTTCTTGGCCTGGGTCTCCACTGCGATGGCCTCGCGCTCGCGAGGCCCACATGGCCCCTTTATGGGGCCCTGGAGATGGAGGGACAACAAACGGGCACGCCCGGGACCAAGACCGCCTCTGGCAACACCTGTTTTTCGTCGGCGGCGAGGCCGGGGCAGTCCGCACCCGGCGCGGGGCGCATCGGGGCGACCGATCGGCGAATTGCCCGGCGTGCAGCAAAGAGGAAGGAGCGAAGACGAGGGCGGACGCGCGAGGGGAGGAGGGCGGAAGCGGCCCCCTCCTGCAACACCAGAAAGGGCGGGCTGCCGCGTCTGGCGGCATGCCCCGCCCAGCAGCGCTCCGAGAGCGCCCCGACCCGCCCCCCCTCCCTCCCACGGGAGCCCAGCTTGCCAAAGGCCAGCTCCGGGGGGACGTAGAGCTGCCACCTTGGCAACGGGCCACTTCCTCCTCCTCCTCCTTCGAGATTCGAGCTGAGGGCAGTGTCGAGCGATGCTCCCATGTTCTCTTCTCCTCCTCCTCCTCCTCCTCTTCCCTTCCTCCTCCTCCTCCTCCTCCTCCTCCTCCCCCTCCTCCTCATCCTCCTCCTCCTCCGCCTCCTCCTCCTGCACCGCTTCCCACTCCTCCTCTTCCACTTCCTCCGCCGCGTTCTTGTGATTAGAAAGTGTTCTTCCAGGTATTGCTCACATCCTTCTCCTCCTCCTCCTCCTCCTCCTCCTCCTCCTCCTCCTCCCCCTCCTCCTCCTCCTCCTCCACTTCCTGCTGTTCCTCCTTGTGAGAAGGTCGCGAGAGCCGTCGCGTCTGACCCCTTAATTTCCTCCCTCCTCCTCTCCTCCTCCTCCTCCTCCTCCTCCTCCTCCTCCTCCTCCTCCTCCTCCTCCGCAGGCCTCTGACGTCTTGAACAAGAAAGATGGGATTTCCTCGTCGTGTTCGTCCTCGGGGGGGTCACCAGACTGTGCCGACGTCAGGGAGCAATTCAGGATAAGAAGCTGATCCCCATGAAGCAGTTATCAAAAGTTCTAGGGTCTCCGCATTCCCAAATGAAACGCCGAAGGTCTGGGACTGCCGCGTTGTCCTCGTCCCCCTTCTTCTCCTCCTCCTCCTCCTCCTCATCATTATCGTCATCATCACAATCACCAACACCATCATCATCATCATCAGCAGCAGCAACATCATCTTCATCATCATCAGCATCATGATCATTATCATTACCATTATCATCACCAGCATCATCATCATCACCATCAACATCGTTATCATCATCGTGATCTTCATCTCATTATCCTCTTACACCTCCTCCTAATTATCAACATCATCGCTGTCATCAGGATCCTCATTATGATGATCCTCATCATCCTCATCATCCTCATCATCCTCATCATCCTCTTCATCCTCATCCTCATCCTCATCCTCATCCTCATCATCATCCTAAGCCGCCCCCCCTGCACCCAGGTAACGTCACGATTCGTGCTGACGTCCGTGCTGTCGATGGTTATGCCCAGACTTTCGCAGAAAGCGGCTACGCGAAACGTGACGTTACCGGACCGAACGTGACGTTACCAGCCTGCAGCGCCCGCCATCGCCAGGGAATGAACACACGCTCTCCATCAACATCATCATCATCACAATCAACATCGTCATCACCCCCACACTCATAATCATAGGCTTTACCAGAAGCAAAATCACAATCACGAACCACAATCAAACGAGCCGTACGGATGCCAAACATAATAATCAGAATCCAAATACTACTCAGAATACGGATAACAGCGAAAGTCATAATACTAATAGTAATGATAAGACTACGAATAACAATAATAATGATACGCATCGGGGTCATGATCATCATCACCATCAGCATCATCATCACATACGTTATCAGCAACATAATTCGCATCATCATCATCAGCATCATCATCAACAGCAGTTTCATCATCATCAGCATCAACAGCATCATCATCACCATCATCGTTATCATCACAATCATCAGCATCATCAGCATCATCGTCACCATTGTGATCAGCATCATCATTATCATCATCACCCTCATCATCATCGCAGGGTTCACCCCACCACTGGATTGAACCAGCTTGCGCGCTTGGCGCCACCCCACACCATCCGACCACGTGCCTCCCTGAAGTCCTTGCGCGTAGACGTGGGGCCCTCACCACCCGCAGAACGGTCTTGCGACCCGAAGCCGTCAAGCATTCTGGAACCCCGAAGGGTGCGGTGACTACACTGTGTGGTGAGTCAATGGAAATTCGGGGTGACCGCATGGTACTTGGGAAATTAGTTATCCAGGCGATTAGGGCCTCTCAGGTTCCAACGGGGGAGGATGACCCAGACATACAGGACTCAGAAGAAATCAAGGCAATCGGCTTGCCTATGGAGGCCAGTTTCGGGCCCTAGCTCGGGACGAAAAGCCAGCCCCGAGAAAGGAGTAAAGAGGTCGGGGAGCACACGCATCGAGGAAATCAGAGCGCCGGATGTCTGTGCCCACCTGCGGCGCTTTCTTCTCCTCCTCCTCCTCCTCCTCCTCCTCCTCCTCCTCCTCAAAGGGGGTGGGAGGCCGCGGAGGATCCCCACACCAACGACCACACCAAATAAGACCACAAAAATACCAATACCTCAACCCAACCTCCACCCACCAGTCCCCTTCCACCATAAAACACCACTCCACCATCCAAATCCATCCCAACAACCCACAGCCCACACCAAGCACCACCAACAAATCCATCCATTCCAAAAAGCCCCTACCCCAAACCGGACAGCCACAATATCCAGCGTCGTGATTTTGTTCAAAGCGTGGGCACACGACCTCTCAGGTCCTGGGCCCCGTCCAGGGAACGGCGCGAGGATGCCAGGGGAGACCAGAGGAGCACGCAGCAGCGGCAGCAGCAGCGCAGAGCAGCGCAGTAGCAGAGGGGCGTCTTGGGTGCACACCGGCCATCCTCCTCCTCCTCCCCCACCTCCTCCTCGCAATCTCTCTCCAGCAGTGGTAAGCCTTCCTTCGGCTGCGCCTCCTCTTCCTCCTCCTCTCCTCCTCCCCTCCTCCTGCTCCTCCTCCACCTCCTCCTTCCTCCTCCTCCTCCTCCTCCCCTTCCCCCCTCCTCCTCACTCCTCCTCCTCCTCCATCCTCCTCCTCCTCCCTCCTCCTCCTCCTCCTCCTCGCACCCTCTCCAGCAGGGCAAGCCTCCTCCTCTCTTCTCCTCCCTCCTATTCCTCCTCCTTATACTACTCCACCTCTCGTCTCCTCCTCCTCCCCATTCTCCCCTCCTCCTCCTCCTCACTTCTCCCCTCCTCCTCCTCCTCCTCCTCCTCCTCCTCCTCCTCCTCCTCCTTGTCCTCCTCGTCGGCGCCACCTCTCCCTCCGGGGCGGCATTGCAGAGGGGGGTGGGGGGAGGGGGGGCGTCGGTGGCCCAGGGCGCGCGGGCGGGGGAAGCGGTCCTAAGGGGGCCAGTCCGTGGCGTTCTGGTGGGGGGGCTCGGTTTCCACATCCACCACCGTCAGCAGGAGGGGGAGGAGGTCCTCCTCCTCCTCCTCCTCCTCCTCTCACCTCCCCTCCTCCCTGCTCCTCCCTCCTCTGTTCCTCACCTCCTCCCCCATCATCCTCCATCTTCCTCCCCCTCCTCCTCCTCCTCCTCCTCCTCCTCCTCCTCCTCCTCCTCCTCCTCCTCCGCCTTCTCCTCGTCTTCATTATCCTCCTCTTCTTCCTCCTCGTCCTCCTCATCCTCCACCTCCTCCTCCCCCCTCCAACATATGGTGGCGGTGGAAAGCAGGCCCATCATTTCTGGCGGGGGGAGGGAGGAGTTGGGAGGAGACTCGTATCATCAGGATGCGCGGCAAAGACACCAGGGCCTTGGAGGGCCAGTTGACGTCTTCGACAGAGGTTGGCCAGCGAAAGTCGCTAAGGATGGGCCGAGGGGGCAAGGATGCAATTGTACCCCTTGGGAAGGTTACCCATCCTTACTGTGCGGGTTGACTGCAGGAGGCGGCTCCTGAGTGTCTTCGCAGGAGGGCTGTTGTCAACCCGCATCGCAAGGATGGGCAACCTTCCCAAGGGTATCCTTGCATCCTTGCCCTTTCGGCCCATCCTTAGCGACATTCGCTTGCCAGCCTCGTTCGAAAAACGCCAACATGGCCCTCCAAGGCCCTTGCATCCGTGCCGCGCATCCTGATAAGAAGGGTTGACTGTAGCAGGCCAGATTCAGGAACCAACGGGCCGGATTGAACTCGAGAGAGCCCAGGGCTAAACCAGATGAGGCGGGGCGAAGCCTTGTTCGAGCGGCAGCAATCAGCACGTAGGACGGTGTCCGACAACGGATGTACCAGCGCCGATGCTGAGTTGACGACCCTCCCAGAGGTTGCAACCAAGGGGGAGGGACAGAAAGACGACGACGTTGACAAGAAGCAGCAATCTCCGATCCAGACGGCGCAGAGAGATCGTGACTGCCCTTCTTTGGACGTGCTCGATGTCCAAAGACCGGGGGTCGAGACTTGTAGGGGCGGATGTCACAAACAAAAAGGGGCCGTCAGAGAGGATGATGAGGTGGGCCCTCCACGACCCAGGACGTAACGCCAACAGTAGGATGAGGTGGGCGGCGTGGCCAGAAGAACCGCCACGACGCATATACCATCAGATTTCTCGGTGCGCGCGTCGCCCCAGAGGTGGCGACGCACATATAGTATAAGAATGTTAGGGTGACGCCGACAGGGCTTGACATGTCGGATTTCGGAAACCCCGAGCCCACGTGTTCATCTCTTGGGGCGCATCTTTCACTTCCGCCGCCTTCCGCCGAACTTCCGCCGGCTTGCGCCGGCTCAGGCGGACTCGTTGTACTTCCGCCGACCTCACGCCGCCTTCACCGCGGAAGAGATGACAACTCTTGGATCCTCGAAGTCCGCAAGAAATAGCACACTCATTGTGGCCGAAACGTCCACACCCTGAGACTGGGAGAGCGACGAAGCGGGGGGAAAGGGAGGAAGGGGTGCAGGGAGGGACGAAGGGAGGGAACTGCTGTCGACCTCGCAGCTGCGTGCCCCCCCTCCCCCGGGTGGTGCGAGGCCCACCCCCCAGGGCGTGTGCCACCTCTGCAGCCCCCCCCCACCGAAGTTGCCGGTCGGACATCGCCGTTGGGGCGGGGGCGCGTTGCCGTCGTCGTGGTCGCCGTTGTCGTGGTTGTGGTCGTGGTCGTGGTCGTGGTCGTGGTCGTCATCGTCGTCGTCGTCGCCGTCGTCGTCCTCGTCGTCCTCGTCGTTCTCGTCGTCGTCGTCGTCATCGTCGAAGTCGTGGTCGTGGTCGTGGTCGTGGTCGTGGTCGTCGTCGTCGTCGTCGCCCTCGTCGTCGTCGCCCTCGTCGTCGTCGCCCTCGTCGTCGTCGCCGCCGCCGTCGTCGCCCGCGTCGTCGACGCGGTGGTCCGGGGCCCCCGCTTGTCGCCCTCAACCATCAGCCGCAAGGCCACCGACCACCAAGAGCCGCCGGCCTCGGCACGGCGGCCCTGCTCATCGGCCACCAGCCGCTTCTGCAGGCCGGGGTGGAGCAGCACGCCGCTCTCGCCTGCGGGCGGCA